TTAATCTAAGTGGCGTTAAAATTTTAAATGTCAAATATAATCCGTTACTTTTACCTAGGTGGCGATATAATTTTTTATCATTCGTCACTTGTTCTTAGGTGGCGAAAGAATTTTTTAATTCTAAAATAAAATACAAATCTAATTTAATTTTTAATTGGTCGAAATAATACCTTTGCTTATGTGTCGCGCCGAATGCTCTCGAAAAATGCCTACTATATTTATATATATTAGATTATTGTAGACCCAAAATTTAACACTTTCAAATAATATAGTCATATTCTGGATAATATAATCACTTTTTTAGATGATATAATTATCTTGTTGTGAGTCATATTTTGAAGGGTATAATCTTATTTTAAACAATTTAGTAAGATGATGTAATTATGTTTTAGATGATATAATTACTTTTTGAATGATTTAAAAACTGTTTGATATTTTTTTTAATGATAAATTCACTTTTTGAATGATACATTTACATAATCAGTTTGTGGATAATATAATCAAATTTCGTATGATATACTAGATGGTTAGTTACACTCTTTCAATTGTTTTCTCAGTACTTTCCACTACTTTTTTATGTTATTTGAAATTTTGGTTGGTAGATTTTGATGATGCTTGAAGATGAACCATCCAAAATGATGACGAGATTAGCATTGAATAATTTATTAATTTGTCTATTTTTTTTAATAATTTGTACTTCAATTTTGTTAAAATCTCCAAATAAATGTCAATTTTTTTTCCTGTAAATAATTGGTTTATTTGTGTTTTCTTGCAACTTATATTTTTTTTCATATGTTTGTGATTAAATTTGTTACTTTATTTATTCGTTGTATGCAGTATATCATATTCTCATTAATTTTTTTTTATTTTAAAATAAATTGTGAATTTTCTCTCCTTCATTATATATTTAGATGAATTTCCTAATATTAAAAGATAACAATTTTTATATAATTAGTTTAAACTTTAAAATCTCATTCGTCAATTTTACTTATGGAATTTAATTTGAATTATTTAATTCTAAACGAAATTACATATATTTTATTTAATTGGAATTAATGCCTATTTATAATAATAACAAATCATAAGATGGAATGAATTTATTATAAAGTTTATTATTCGATATGATAAATTTTGTTAACGCAAAAGTTAATCTTCAAGATAAATAAATGATAAATGATGAACATTTTTTTTGCTAGTAAAACAGAAAGGACATATTTTTTATTTCAATGATTTTTTTCTTATTTTTTGTATTTAATCCAATTTTTTTTTTTTTAAATTGAACGTGATTTCTTTTTTTTTATTAGTATATTTTTATAAAATATTTTATTATAATCACTTGTCATATTTTCATTATTTTTTTTATCTAATCTAATATTTTATTTTATTTTTATCATTTGGATTTAATATTAATTTGTTTTATATATATACGAAATAAAATAAAGTGTTTCTTTTCTCTTAGATAAAGTTTTCAATTTAAAAACATTGTATTTTATTTTTATAATGAATTTAAATTTTTAATTTTAATCTTACGTGGCGCTTTAAAATAACAATCCTACGTGGAATAATCCTATATGTGATGCTCTAAAAATACTAATCTCATATGGCGCTCTAATAATTAAAAAAAAAATCAAAATCCGAGGTGGCTCTCTAGGGAAAAATCCCCTTTATATAACTGAACGTGATTTTATTTTTTTTATTAGTATATTTTTATAAAATATTTTATTATAATCACTTGTCATATTTTCATTATTTTTTTTATCTAATCCAATTTTTTTAAAATATTAATTTAATGTGAATTTCATTTTTTAAGTTTATTAGTATTTTTTATATTCATACAAAATAAAATAAAATAAATTTTTTCTTTTCTTTTAGATAAAATTTCCAATTTAAAAAGATAGTATTTTATTTTTCTAATAAATTTAAATTTTTATTTTAATCTTACATGACGCTTTAAAATAACAATCCTACGTGGTATAATCTTACATGGTGCTCTAATAATTTTTTAAAAATTCTAAATCCTAGGTGGCTCTCTAAAATCTTGGGAAAAACTTTCCTTATATATATATATATATATATATATATATATATATATATATATATATATATATATATATATATATATATATCATGTAAAAACAAGTCTTAGGGTGAAAACTGAAAACGATTAATCCTAGCCGTAGATTATAATCTAGCGGATGACATCTAATGTATATATCCTAATTTTCTCTCTCCTCCCGCGAAAACACTTTCTCTCTCCTCTGTTATTTTATTCCTCCTCTTCCTTCTCTCTTCACTTTCTCTCTTCTAATTTCTCGACATTTTTTCCCCAATTTTCACGCTACTTTTTCAAACACCGCTACAATTACTTTGATTTTTAGCAATTTCTCAGCTCTATGATCTATTATCAGGTGAGTTCTTTGTGGTAATTTCGCTATTTTTGCACGATTTGAGGTTATTAGGTTTCTGAAATTTTGTTTGCTGGAATTTCATGAGTATTTTTTTGTAGATTCAACCGGAAATTTAATGTCTATTGTGTTTTTCGTGTATGATTTTTGTTTAATTTTGTAATTTTGCAAGTTTTTTTTATTTATTTTTTCGATTTGATTTGATTTTTTGAATTTCAACTTAAGTTTCGTTTTAGTAGGAGTATTTTTTAAATGTATTTTGTTTAATTTTGCCTAATTTAAGTAAACTAGGTTTTTATATGTATTTTTGCTCGAAATTCTACTTTAGGGTTTGATTTTAGCTGATTTTTGCGGATTTTGATTTTGATGTTGAGGAGTTCAGTTTTGTTGAGTTGCCAGATGCTGGGGGAGAAGTGACTGGTAGGATTGTGTTTCTCCTTGATGAGTCATTAGCTATTTTGAGTGTCTCTTCTAAAAAAAGTTGTGTATGGGTTATGGAAAAGGATGGTAAAGGAAAGGAGATGTGGAAGATATGGTTTTCAGGGGACTCGAATTTAGAGGCTTCTGATTTTATCAAAGATTGCACTAACAAGAATAATGTAGTGATTCTTCATGTTAAGAACACTGATATGATTTTTGTAGTACACTCTGGAAACGCATTTTATTATAACATCAGGAATCAGCAATTAAAACAGTGTGAGAAAACTACTATTCGCCGTTTAGATTCTATTTGTACTTATGTTGAGAGCTTGGTGTTGCACTAGGATTTAAATGATTGGTTTAGGAACAAGAAGTAAAAGCATTGTATTTGCAGTCAATAATAATAATACAATTTTTTATTTTTATTTTGTTCTTACAACCTTCTTACCTATCCATTTATATTCGGATGTTCTTGTGGATTTTGTATTGTTGTGTCTCATTTCAGATAATCTGCTTCAAGTATATAGTGATGCTTCTTGCTGAGAGCAGTATTCATCACAGTTTACTGGAATGATGGTATCTAGATACTTTGTTTCGTTTTCTGATCTTCATCTGGTAGTGACAGTAAGACTAAAAAACTTACTCATTGGTTGCTGTTATGCTTGGATGTTCTCTGGTCCTGCGTTGTTCCTTGATGTTGTTGTGTTCCTCTCTTACAACCTATCTTTGCTTATTTGTGTAGCTTTGTTTGTTGTTGTGGTGTTTTGTTGTCTTGTTGTTTGCCCTTGTTTTGGTTTTGGTTGTTTCCTAGCTTGTACGTTGCTAGCTTAGTTGTACTAGATGGTGGTTGTGTTTCATGTGTCTGGTTTTGGAGGGGTGTTGGACTATGTTTTTTTTGAAGTTTTGTTTAAAAAAAAGGTCACTATGCTATAAAAAGAGGCAACTACTTTGGTTTCTTTTGTTTATCTTTTCGTATGTCTTGTTACAGGGTGCAACAAGGATTTTCATTCGATTTGGATTAGATTATATTCCTATGGTGAGAACTAGAGGTGGTGCGACTTTTAAAAAAAGGAGAGGCCTTCGTAACTCAACAGGAGGAGTTAAATTGAAAGATACATGAGGCATCATGAATGTTTGATTTTTGGATTATTAACCTTAATATTCAATTTTTTGAATTATATGATGTTAATTTTTTAGCAATACTAACTAGTAACACCTGTTAATATACTAGTTGCTTCTATTATGATAGTCTCCTAATACTATAGAATGTAGGTCCCTATATTAATATAAAAGTTACTATATTATTAGTTCCCTATGTAACCGAAAAAGGTCACTATATCAATGACAATGATTATTATTTTTAAGTTATTAGTTTGCTATATTATAATAGTTTGCTAGATGAAAATGAAGATAATTGTATATATAACTATATGCTTGCGTGTTTTTGGTATGCTTATTCTTATTTAGGTATGATTAATGTTTGATTTTTGGATTATTATACCTTAATATTCAATTTTTTGAATTATATTATGTTAATTTTTGAGCAATACTAACTAGTAACACCTGTTAATATACTAGTTACTTCTATCATGATAGTCTCCTAATACTATAGAATGTAGGTCCCTATATTAATATAAAAGTTACTATATTATTAGTTCCCTATTATTATAATTGTTTGCTAGATGAAAATGAAGATAATTGTATATATAACTATATGCTTGCGTGTTTTTAGCATGTATCAATCTCAATGATAAAGATGAAGAGCATATTGATGGTGGAAGCAAAATGATTGATGATGATACTAACAGAGATAAAGATGCTTGTATTGAAAAAGGATTGAAAAAGAAAGCTATCACTAAGAAAAAGAAACCTTCTACTATTGAGAGTGCTATACCTTTGTCAACTGTGATGGAAGGAAAGAAGGGGAATGAGTCTTCTTCTTCACATGCTATTGTTTTGTCAGCTAAGAAGAGAAAGTTGGATGAAAATGAAGGTCTTAAAGTGAAGAAAGTGAAGGCAAATAAGGATAAGAACATTATGATCTCATAGGCAAGAATCTGCAATCATAGATGGTAAGTGAATATTTGTTTCTTTTTTTGAAGTTTTGTTTAAAAAAAAGGTCACTATGCTATAAAAAGAGGCAACTATTTTGGTTTCTTTTGTTTATCTTTTCGTATGTCTTGTTACAGGGTACAACGAGGATTTAAAACACGTTGCAGGCCATTTCATTTAGTAGAGATGATTAAAAAAATTTCAGATGATCAAATCAAGGCTGTTAAAGAAATTGGCTTTGGAGGTTTGTTATCTTTGAAGGTGAAACGAACTGCAACTGATATGCTATCATGGTTGGTAGATTGTTTTGATCATGGTAGTTGCATGTTTACTATTGATGGTAAAAAAAGATTTTGTTGTGACTGAATTTGATGTGTATGATGTTTTTTGCCTTCCTTGCAAAACATCTAAGAAAGTTGAAGAAATTTCTCGTTGTGCTAATGTCATCAACCCTGATTATGATTTAAAGGTTAAATGGAGGTCTCATTTTGGTCTTATGGGTGAGAATGATCAGATTCCTTTGGGTTTTTTGGAATCTAAGATCCCTTTACTAGTAGATGGCGGGGAAGAATTCAGACAACTTTTTATCATGCATGCTTTTTCAAGTTTTTTAGCACCTACGTCCAACAGAACTGTGGATTTGAGAATTGTAAAATGTTTGGTTGATGTTAATCAAATAAGAACTTATGGTTGGTCAAAATATGTCTTAGATAGACTTTGTGAAGATGTGAAGAGCTACAAAGAAGAAAATATATAATGGTTTTGTGGTTGTGTTTTGATGTTAGAGATTATCTATTTTCATCGATTGAGGTTTAGGAATGTTGCGTTAAATTCTACAATACCTTTAATTCAACATTGGACTGATGTGGATATAAGAGATAGAATTAGAAATGAAAAGTTGTCCAAGGGTTTTGGGTGTGGCATTCTTGAGTTTGATACATATCCAGTGAGTGAGAAGTTGCAATTTGAGGATGGACAAGTTGTTTGTAATCAATTCAAGGAAGCTCCTGTGAATCAAACTTCTGGAAAAGAATCTGTTGTTTATGAAGGTGTCCGTAGCAATGTTAAGGGTGTTATTCAGTTTGAGCTACCTGCTAGTTCAATGTCTAATGAGGAAATCCGTTCAATTGCTATTGATGTAAGTATTTTACCCTTTAATTCTGACTGTGTGGTTTTTTTCTTTTTTTGTTTTTTTTTTTTTGTCACAAATTATTTTACTAAATCTAAGTGCTACATTTGTTTTTTCACAGGAAGTTTATGAGAAGTTTTTGCTCATGAAAAGAGATTTAGAAGTGGTATCTAACTTCTACATGAATGAGTTGAAAGTCTTATTTCAGACTCGTAAACCTAATGATGGTTCAACTTCGACACCTCCAATGTCCCAAACTGATTTATTCTTTATGGATCCTCGTGTTCATGAAATTGTTGATGAGATTGTGTCTCTTGTAAATTGGGTAAGCAAAGTGCCTAATGGTTTGGATGATGATGATATTGATGATAATGGTGCACCTGCAAAAGAGATTAATGTTGTAGTTGGTGAAGTTCCAAGGATAGGTTTTGAGCATGTTTTGAGTAATGGAAAATCTAAATGCTCCCTTGCTATGGATGTTAGTCTCTTTGGTGATAAAGTTACATATGTAACTCAATATATGAAGTCAAGTAATAAGGATATGAAGGTTTTGGATGCAGTTGTCCAGGAACTTGTTGACTACTGCATTAGTGATTATCATGGTTTCGATCTCAAGTAAGTCATGTCATGGTTCTTTTTGTTATTTATTTTTCAAATTTTAATAATAAGTGACTATGCTAATATACATGTGTATTTTTATTTCCTTGTACAGTGAGGTGTTGGTATCTTTTGGCAAACCATTTGAGATTACAAGGAATGAATTCCTTTCATTAGGCGAACCGACTATTGCTATATCTTCTGTTATTATTGATTGTTGGGCTTTGTTGCTTAATGAAAACTAGAAGAGTAGTGCACATGGACCTCAAAAACTATATTTTGGTGTTTCCCAAAGTGTAAGTATCTTTCGGCTATTCAGTTACTATATCATTATAATGGTAGTTATTCATTATAAAAAATTCATAAATTAATTTCACTATGTATTGAAAACAGTCACTATGATTCATAAATTAATTTCACTATGCAATGAAAACAGTCACTATGTAATTCAAGTAATTACATTTAAGAAAAATAACTCTACCTTCTAATTTTTTTAATATTTATTAATGTTTGATCTTTTTTAGGCTTTTTTACTGTAAGTTGCAAACACAGATAGTAACACACAAGACATTGACAAGCTATTTGACATTTGGTCAAGATGGTTGTTCATTCCTTGCAATGATTTTGATATTGCAAATGTTGAGTTGGTAATACATTGCAAATGTTGACAATCATTTTTCAACTAAGTACTTTTATATTAAGTTTTTCAAGCTTAATAGTTGTTTATTTATTTATTGCAGATATTTGTTCCATACTCTTGAATGAGCACTTTTTCCTAATTGTTGTGAATTTGAAGGAAGAAAAGCTTCAGTTCATTGATAATATGAGTTATGATACAAAGTACATGAGTGAAGTTGAGAAGTTCTCTGATGTTCTGGTAAAAATATAATATTTTGGATTTTATTTGTATTTTTCTAGTTAGGATATGCTTCATGGAACCTAAAGTATTAATTTATTTTGCCTAGAGTGATATGCTGAGTACTTTTCTTGATCAACGCCTTCCTCAAAGTAATGACTCAGTGAAGAACATGATTGAGTATACTTTGGAGTCACCTTCTGTAAATTGGAAGTCTGGAAAACAGAAGAATAATGATAGTTTTATTTACACTATGGTCAGCATGCTTTACTTTAATGGAGTTGATGGGTTCAACTGCGATGTTTTGAAAATGGTTATCTCGTCTCATTTTTTTTATTTGGCTTTCAATTTTTATTATATTAACTATTTCCTCCATGGAATTTAACTAGCTTTTTTATTCTAATTTTTGCTTAAATTAATATATTAGGTTTCAACTAGACGGGCATTGAAAGCTCAGATTGCTGCTACTCTGGTATTGTCTGATATGAACATTGTCAGAGATGAAGTTCTTGAAAAGCTATCTGAATTCAGATTAATAAGGAGTCAAGTTACAAAAGATGTTTTTGATGGAATTAAGAAGAAAACAAAGCAAGGTAAAAAGGAAAAGAAAGTATAGGCAGACTAACGAATATGTGGATGAAGTTTTTTGCTCAGAAGTATTTGTATTTTGCACAGAAGTAGGAAATCTAATGTAATGATGTAGTTTGCATCAACAAATGGATAATCTAACAAATTTGTATAAGTGTTAATATAGAACAATATGATATGTTCCAGTTCATACAAAGCTTTGAATTGGTGGTACTGGTAGTTCTTTTGATATGTAATCCTTAATTGACATTCAAGAAGTTTAGTGAAATATATATTAGTTATAAATTTGGTGCCTATGGTATAAAAAATGGTATCTATTTTATTTAAAAAGGTATCTATGTTATTTAAAAGGTTTCTATATTATAAGGTCACTATGTATTTAAAAAGGTAGCTTTGTTATTTAAAAGGTTTGTATATTATAAAGTCACTTTGTATTTAAAATGTTATTAGTTCAATGTGTTATATATAATTAAGTTATAATGCAAAATTGCCACCATATTCATTATTCTATTTTGTATACATATGTGACAAGTTTTCAAGGACCTATAATAAATATGTACCTAAAAATGCCTAACTTTTTTTTTATCTCTTAAAAAGAGAAAAAAAAAACTCGAAAAAGGATATTATATATGACTTTTTATAGTCACTATGTAAGTAAAATGGCATTATATGAGTTAAAAGTTGCCAATTACTATGCGATGCAAAAGGATCACTATGAGATGCAAGAGCGTTACTATGTGATTAAAAAGATTTTTATAATAATTTGTCTTTATTTAGATAAAAAGGTCACTATGTAAGGTAAAAGTGTCGTATTTATATTAATCTATTCTTAAGCTATTCAATTAGTATATCAATTAAAAGAACGAGCCCTTCCTTCCCTAACTTTTTATTGGCTTAATCTATGTGGGTTATGGGAGCTGAGGAGGGCTTAGAAGAATTGTGAAAATGTGAGTATTTTTTATAACGGTTCCTATATCATAATAAAGTTCATTATATCACTAAAAGGTTCCCACGATATAAGGTTCCAATACAATGAAAAAAGTCACTATGACATTAAAAACACATGCTATAATATAAATTGAAGTTATCATATATATGCCAATATGTCACTACATCAAAATAACAATATAAAGGTCAATAAAAAGTTAAACAATAATAGGTCACCCTATCAATAAAATTTTAACAATAAAAGGTCTCTGTTTAATATATGTGTAACAATAACAGTCACTGTATCAATAAAAAGGGCACTATAGCACTATGTTCTTTCTCTCCTCTCATCTCCTCTATTTCAGCACTAGGTCGTCAGTAGCTGATGTTGCTTTTGCAGCCTTTCTACTCTTCTTTGAAATCCTGAAATCATGTACATGAACATATATAAAATGAAAATCCAGTAGGAAGTAAACATAGTACAAAATTTATTTACTATATGGTATTGAGCAAGGTGTTAGTCATTCAAGCAAATACACAAACACCTTATTTGCAACAATTTCTCCTAATGTCTAATATCATATATCCAAGAAAAAAAAAACTTCAATACAAGAAATAAAATATTTATATTGCAAATTATATTGGTTGAATCGTTATAAAAACGAAAAAAGAGTATAGAAAAAAAAATTCATTTGAAACTAAAAAACAGAGCAAATAAAGTCATTCAAGCAAAATCACAAACACCTTATGTGCAACAATAGAAACCTTCATAGATGAAATGATTGAAACTTGTAACCAGAAAAATCAAGGAAATAATATCAAAGTAGCATATTTATATGAAAAAAAGAACATAATATAAACTTAAATTCATGAAAATTGAATAAAAGTCAAACATGATACATAGATAGTGATTTCAGCAACATTGATAGTGAAACGAATTGGATGAAAAAAAATACCTCAGAATCCATTCGTCAATGTGATTTAACAGTTTGTGATTCTTAATTGAAAATTTTTCGTGAAAATTTTGATAATTAATCAATGAATTTTTCACAAAAAAAATTGGGGGAAAAAGGTTAGTTACGTTGCAGGAGAGAAGAAGCTTAGGTAAATCCCTTTAAAATGTCTTGGTTGTATTTCAACCGTCAAATTATCTCATTAATCATCAACGGCTAAGATTTGCTGTTTTTAGTTTTCACCATAAACCCTGTTTTCAGTGGAACCCTCCATAATAAGAAATTAAGATATTGTAACTTTGAGAAATATATTTGTAACTAATTACTTCGTTATTGATAATAAATTATTATATTGATGAGTTTTAGAATAAAATTTATTGATTTCTCCGCATGCAAAATCTGTTTTATTTTCTTTTACTCTGAAATTGGAATTGTTGGGTATAATATGAATATTAGATTATTATTAATAATAAATTAACTGATATTAGATAATTTATATTGAATTATTGATTATAGGATGAAATTGATTAAATATAATATTGTGATTACTTTTAGTTTCATGTATAATTGTATAATCACTTTTTTTTTTGGTTGTTGTTTTTGGTATTCCACTACCTTGTTGATATTGAGAAAGATTTTATGTATCTTCAATAGCTTCCCCCTTCGAATAAAAATTGTTCCGTTAAAATTCAATCTTTTTTTGCATACCCAAATAATGTTTGTTGTATTAATAAAATATAAGTATTAGACGGTTAGGCCCCAATTTGTAGGTTCGCCCCTAGGCCACACACATCTCAGAAACGGGCATTCAGTACAAAACATATGTAATGAAATTTTTCCCAACCTTCTCATTTTAAAAGATCTTCTCATTTAATCCAATATATATGTACTAGCATTATATGTACGCCATGCGTGCTTAAACCTATTGATAACCAAAATATTGCACCAATTTTCTTTTAGAGAACTTTTACAAATATTGCACCATATCCATTTTAGGAAACATAATATTTGTGTTCACACAGCAAATATTCAATGCACGCCTACTTTTAACACTTAATTCGTTAGTTTATATTTACATCACATAGATAATTTTGTACTTTTACTTCTCTCTCTCTCTTTCTTTTTTCCCACGACTAACAAAAAAAGTGTGTCCAATCTCTATGGTGCAATAATAAAATAACGGAGGAAGTATAAAAATATTAAACTATTTAGATTAATTAAGTACAATTTTAATCAACAAACTTACTTTTTTCGTATAAGTTGTTGAAAATTTTTCAAACTATAAACAAACATATAATATTTGAAAATCAAGTCATAAGAAAATTTATAAAATCTCAATTCGACTGCTAACACTTATTTTGGTGTTTTTATAACAGTAGTTTGAAATATGATTACTATATTATTTTAATGATAAAAAATATGATCGGTTCATTTTTCACATTATAATATAAACACTATTAGTCTTCTAATATCTTCAATGCAAATATTATTTTTGAAAATTTTAATCTAGCATAAAATAAATATTTTTCAATAAACTATAAAAATAATAATAAAAAAAATTACATAAATGAAACTAAAAATTTGATAACTAAAAAAAATGTTGATATTACTATTTTATAGCATAAATAAATTAATATAATTTGTTACTTGGAGAAAAATATGTCAATTATGAACTACATAATCATTAAAAAATTATGATAGTCATATTTATTTGATTCAATTAAAAACCAATCACATCACTAATCTTCAATCAAATACGTCTATAATTGATTCAATCAATGCCATGATTCAATCAATCATCTTCTATTACATCAAATAACTTCCTCAATAAAATAATGATTCATTCAATTAGTGATTTTAAAATGAATAACATCCTATTTCAATCAAATCATAAATTCCCTAATTATGATAAAAGTTTTCC